TTTAAGTTTGTGGGAAAGCAGTTATTTGAGGAACTAACAATCCTAGTGAAACAAGAGGGGGGATTTGGGATTAGGTAGGATCATGAAGACAAAACGTTTCTCATCCAGATTCAAGGTGTTTTCAAGAAAATGTGACTGGAGAAGAGGATTTCATTTTGTAATCTAGGCCAACAATGAACAATGGACAATAGACCATGGACCACTAGACAGTGGACCTTTGAGGTTTCTGGAAAGCCTCTGTGGGGGCAAGGAATATTTTTACTTGGTATCCAAGGAAATTGCATGGATTAGTCACTTAACTAAAAAAATAGTACAACTTTGGCTGCTGATAAGTTATTTAGGGTTAGAAGTTAAGATTGTGTTAAAGTATACATAGTGCATGAAAGGGCTTCATGCACTGTGAAGGACTACAAATATTTGGTGCTGATGTTTCCAATTATCTCGGCTCTGAATTATCTAATGGAAAAATGAGTTTAAACATTACAACTAGTTGTGTGACTTCAAATAGTCATTCTTCCTTTGTTTTCTAGATCAATAAAGACCTTTTGGCCTAACTTGCCTCATACCATTATTTAGAAGTTTAAATGGATGTGGAAATGTTTGGGAAAGTATGGTGCATGCTAAAATCTGAAGTGTTATTCTGTAGCCTCTGAGTTGGTCAAGACTTCCCAGAATCTTAAAATACAGTGAATTCTTCCTATGATGTAAGAAAAACTCTCACCTGGGCCAAGGATTTAACTCAGTGGCACTGTGCAAGTTTAATCGCCAGTACCCCGGGGCCAGGGGGATTGGGACAACCAAAAAAACCCCACAACAAACCCTTACCTTAGATATGTTCCAATAGTTAATATGTAAATGTAGTGATTTTTCTTTTCATATTATTTCTATAAACTTCCATAAGGAATAAAGGTTTTTTTTTCTTGTTGTTTCAAAGAAGACAGGTAGAGTGTAGCATGCTGTTTGCAAATTGCCAAATCAGGAACCTATATTGTGGTTGAAGACTTAGATACTTTTCCCTGAAGGATGAAACTTTATGTACCTGGGAAGTCTATATTGTTAGTGGAGATTTAGGGCTTTACTCACCTCTATCTGGATGTGTAAAAAAATCGTCAGGCACAAAACAACCAGGGGACTGTAAGGGGGCAGCAAGGCAGCAAGAATAACAGGAGGTTGGTATTTTTATGGCAACTGGCTGCTGCCGCCAATAGATGCTTAATAAATTCTTCCTGATGCAATAAATGGTGTATGGTTTGGACAAGAAAAACATTTGTAGTTCTACTGGAGCTTTTACCCACAGAAATGCTATTTTGTTGCTATTAGTGTGATAGTACAACAGACTAAAGCAGCAGTAAACCAGAGAATCATCTTTTGCACAGCTATTCAAATCTAATAATGAAGACTTCGAAAATTATTTGGTTGATAGAGGCCACATTCCACATTTTATAGTATTTGTTATAGTAGAATTATAGCGTAATTCACAGTTTTTAGATTTAAAAATTATAACCCATCAATTCAAATTTTTTTGTGAAATTAGACATATTTATTCAATGAGATTTAAATCTTCAGAGAAGGTGGGATGGGTAGGGGAAGAGTAAAAAGGGAAAAGAAAAAAATGTGAGAGAATGAAAAGATGAAAATAAGTGTTTGTAGATGGGGAGGGGAGGAGGGGGTGAAGGGAGGGCAGAGGTAAGGGGAAAAAATGAGAATCAAGACTTGTCATGTAGAGGTACAAGATCCCAACAATGAATGTAACTGTACTGTATCTCTAAAATGTACCAATAAACTCAATTAAAGCTGAAAAAAAATAATAAATCTTCAGAGAAACTCCATAGCTTTTTAAGGGGAAGTTTGTTCTACTCACAGGTAGAGATTAGGGTGTATGTGTACTTTACATCTAGAAAGTATCCTGACTTCCTTCTCCTGGCAATGTTTGTCTAAATAAAAATCTTTCTTTAGGATGAGCTTTATCAAGGGTCAAGGGTCTTGTCAAAAAAAGTAGCTATTTATCAACACTACAACAATCTATATGTAAAATTCATTTAAGTTATTGGTGTAAATAGATTTATAGGGACAGAAAATATTTCCACCTTTTCTGTGCCAAGCAATCAAGCAAAACACAAGAGCAATGCAATTTTAATGGGCAGAAGCCTGGGGACAGTGGCTGTGCCCTGAGTAATACACGATCGCCGCCTGGAGGATTCATTTGAAACAAGCAGTAACCAAAGATCCTAATATTTTTAATAATTAAGATATCACATATGAACAAGTAGGGACCAAAGCAAGGAATAAACTACATTTAATGTCCTTGAACTTCTATTTCAAGCTTCCAGTATGTGACTCTTTCAATGTTGTTATTGAGATACTTCCAGCCAAAATTGGAAATGAAACCGAACATTTTAAAAGCATTAAATTAGCTCATCAGCAAATACAGTTCAGGAAGAACTAGACAGGAAGGAAATAGTTTACTGTCGTGCTGCCTCCTTTCTCTACCCTAAGTAATTCCTCATACAAATCATCAGAATTTTTATTTACACAAAGATATAAATGACTGACATTTTAATCAGAAGCATTCACATTGAACGAGTTGAAAGCCTTAATTAAAAGAGGGAGATAGGGCTGGGTGTGGTGGTGGCTCATGCCTGTCATCCCAGCACTTGGGAGGCTCAGGCAGGAGGATCTCTGTGAGTTCAAGACCAGACTGGACTACATAGTGAATTCCAGTCAGTCTCAACTACATAGCGAGACCCTGTCTCAAAAAACCAAAAAATAAAAATAAAAAACAAAAAGAGGGAGACAGGGAAAGATAATCAGAATTTCTGGAAGATGTCAACTGTTGGAGAGGCTATGGTAGAGTAGGATGACCATCTCCTTTACAAAATTCTTAACTGTTCCTTTTAAACTAACAAGGGTGTCCCTTTACTGATACATTCATTTTAATAAAAATGTTTTAAAAGGAGTATTATACCCCCCAATTTTTTTTAATTGAGTAATTTAACAACGGCACTTGTTTCTACATTTCTAACCAGATACTAGTATTTTGGGAACATAAGTTTCCTACCTCAATGCTTCCTAATTACCTATTATTAAATGACTTTTTCTTTCTTCCTTCCTATCTTTAAAATTCCAGTCAGTTGAGGGGCAATACTTGTGCAAGTATATAAAAATTGTATGGCAGTATCTCAAAGTTTAGTGCCTGTTTCTGTCCTTAGGTTGCCCTGGACCACCACTAGTAGTGTGTAGACTGGTAAGGATTTGTGGATTCATTGGAGGGTCACTGTTTAGCTCTTGTTGGCTTTTCTAAAAAAACATTGGGATGAATGCCACACGTGGTGGCACATACCTATAATTCTAGCATTGGGGATGCAGGAGGATCACAAATTCAAGGCCAGCCTGAACTACAAGGACAAGATATATTGTCTTAAACAAAAATCTGGATGATATGATCTAATGATTTCTGTCCACCATTACCACCATAGTTATATTCAAGAGCTTGATTCACACCTTCCTGCTGTTGTTTTTCTTTCACTTCTCCCATCAATTTTTTTTGGGGGGTGTACCAGGGATTGAACTCCCGTCCTTATGCTTGCTAGGTAGGCAGCAGCACCACTGAGCTAAATCCCCGGCCTCCTCCCATCAATTTTGTAAAGAATGTAGTTTCTGAATCCATAGTAACAAAAATTGCAAATTTTGTCGGATGGCCATTTTAAACTGACCTCTGTGTGAAATGTTTGCATATTTCCCCTATAATTTTGTTCAGTACATGTTCTCTTCAGCAGCACATTTACTTCATTCAGTTCAACCCAGTTCAGTTTTGTTAACTTTATTTGCTGTGAATTTGGTCTAGACAACCAGGAACTTGTGTAAGACACTTAGGTAGCATAAAAAGTTCAGCCATTTGAGGACTAACAAGAAATTCATGTAGCAAAACAATGTAAATGACAGGAATCATGCTTTCTTGATTGAAAGATTATAGGACATCTTCAGGTAACTTTTTCTTTTTTTGCTAAAATACAGATTGAAAGACTTGATTTATAAGTAATTATAACATTGTGAAGTTTCTTTCAGTCATTGGTTAGACAATGAATTTTTTTTATCTCAATAACCTTAAACAGAAAATCCCATATATGCATAAAGTGTTCATACATATCCATTTATAAGGCACAAAACTCACAAATCTCTGAAAGAAAAAAAAACAAAGCTTTGAAGACAAAAAAGTAATCTAATAATAGAGAAGCCTCATCAAATTGGAAATTAAAGCAAACCACTTCCATTTCTTAGTAAACAGGGATGTTATACTTTGGGGAAACCTAGCCTGTGAAGAGGGCTCCTCAGCTCTTCCTTTGACGTAGCCGCTTTCACTAGATTAGTGCAGAAGTTAGTTCTTAGAGAGGGCTGTTGTGGCCAGAACACATTACTTTCAAGTACCACCTGTCCCACAGAAGCTTCTGGGCAGCAATGTTACAAACAGCACACTTTGACTTCAGAGTGCCTAATTCACTCATTCTTACTCAAAGGAGGCTTCAGAGACCAACCACAGTGAGCATACATGTTTGCTTGTCCCAGAGCGTGACTATTTTAAGGGTTCTCCTCTAAACTGAGGCAGAAATGCCTGCCTGAGAACCCTGAATTGGGCTAGGTACATTGGTCCTGCATGGGGCAGCATCTACATAGAAGACTTGACCTTAAGTTCCTCTTGAAATAATCAGATCCCCTGAGAATACTTAGAACCAGTTCACTCTATTAAAGGTGTTTTAAACATGCTGGTTATATCCACAGATCCCTGGAGCAACCCCTATATCTACTTGCCTGTAAAGCAGCCCTTTTCTAAATAGCTCTCAAGGTGCTGGGAATGTAGCTCAGTGGTGCCTCACTTGCCTCAAAAGCACAAGGTCCTGAGTTCAATCCCTGGTACTGGGAGTGGGGGGATGTGTGGAGAATAGAAAAACAATGTTAAATTTGGGCCAGGGCTGTAGCTTAGTGGCATCGCACCTGACTCACAAGCCCAAGGTCCTGAGTTCAATCCCCAGTACCGGGAAGAAAAACAAAACAAAACAAAAAAAACCTTTCAAGCAATCCTGCAGTTTGCAGTATATAACAAAGGTCCCATGACACAAATAGAGCAAGGATATGTATGCTCTGTGGGTGGGCCTCCTGGTGGCTCTTGGCACTGTAACTTTCTAGTACTGTTTACATTGGCATTATATGAGAATAATGTTTAATGGCTCCAAGCATTTCCTGGAGTAAGACTGCTTTATAGTCCTTTTATATTATCATGCAAAATAGGGATGGGAGTAAACAGCACTTCAGACTACACAGCTAGGCAGACAGTTGTCCTGAGAAAAGGGTGTTACAGTGGATGAAAGTAAGGACCAGAAGTCAGATGAATCACATAATTCATTATGTGTAAGGGTTTCACTGAATCATCTTGAATATTGTAACTTTTCCACCCTAGGTAATCTGAAATCCAAATAACATAGGGTCCTCAGGTTAATATGTTCAACTGCCAAAGATCAACACAGTACAGCTATTTCAGTAGGATGAAGACCAGCCACCTACTTACTTCCCAGCCCAATTCTATTATCCATTTCGAGGACTTGCCTCCAGAATCCATCATGAGAATTCTGATAAATTTTCAGACATGAAGATGGTTCTAGTTCTGTGTCTCATCAATCTTATTCAAGATCCCTTCCTTTCCTTGTAAGGCCAAGACCCAGAAGAAAAAGGAATATTTATTTTATTAACAACAAAATTCTTGAATCCTCTGGCTTCAAAATGCTGGAGCCATAGTGTATCCTTGGAAATACATATTAATTTAAAAATCAACACTTGAAAAGTCAACGTCTATTGTTGCATCAAGTATTCCCCAAATCAAAAAGGACCACCTCTATACCTTGCCTCCACCAGCAAGCCTCAGGACTCTTTCCTGGTCAGTCTGGCCTTGATTTTGTGCCTCAGAAGAGCTGCAGTGGTAGCACTGCAGGCAGCCAAGAAAAAGAAGGAGAGGCAGGCTGTGTAGACGGACATGGAACTATGGCGCTGCAGGAAGATCTCTCGACGCCCCTGGTAGTCCAGGAGGATGGCCTCCAGCTGTGAGAGCGTGCAGATAGACAGAAAGGCATGGAAGATTTGATGTCCATGCCCCACTATGTCACAGGACCCGGGGAAGTACTTCTCCGGCACTGGGCAGGAGAAGAAGTAGGCGCTGACCAGGAAGAAGAGGATCTGGAGGGTGTGGTACCAGGCCGCCTGTTCCTGGCAGCCAGCCAGATGGCAGAGAGCCACTCGGTGTGCCACAGGGCTGATGTCGAGGATGAAGGCCAGCCCGGCTGGTACCACTTGACAGATCTTCCTCATAACTGGGTAAGGCCTTCGGTAACGGTACTTGGCGTAGCAACAGCCAGCGCAAGATAACCAGCCACAGAAGGCAGCTGCCGGCAAGAAGAAAAGCCAGAACCGCTCGTACCAGGCTTGATCAGAGCTGTAGAAGAAGTGTGCCAAGGCGCTGCCATACTGGTAAACGCTGACACCAACATAGTCCACGAAGTAGAAGGTGTAGTGGGACAGCTCCGACTTGGACTGCAGCAAGTGAGCCAGAAGGCTGCAAGTGAGGTAAGTGATGGAGGACAGGATAAAGAGGAGCAGGGGCAGGGCGTGCGGGGAGGTCCAGGGCAAGGCCACGGCCTCAGCAAAGGCCCAGAATCGCAACAGGACGGCCAGGGCCGCCAGCAAGTGTGTCCAGACGTTGACCACCTCGTTGTGTTTCTGAAAGAGGCTGAGGAAATAGTAGCGCCACTCGTGGCCGGTGGGGCGGTAGCCAGCGCGGATGTAGGGCTCCCGGAAGAGCTGGGGCACGTCGGTCTCCGGGACGGTGCGGGGCATCTGGGGAAGGCCTCCCTCCAGGATCTTGGGCAGGCGGCGCAGCTGTGGCCCGCTCACAGACAGTGTGCTCAGTCGCTCCAAGATGGCGGTCGTCATGGCGGCGCCTGAGGGAGAGAGGCAGAGGGAGGTTGGCCAAGGTAAAGTGGGAAGGCCAAGGCGCTGTCTTATCCCAACGGAACGTGGCCTTCTAGTTCAGCAGGGGAAAGCTAGGAGCTGCGGTTGGCCTCTCCTTCACTTCCCTAAGGATGGAAGTTGGAACAACATCCCTCATGACTCTGATTCTGTCACCATCCTGGACAGTGTGGGTGAGGCACACGCACATCTTATAAAATGAGAGTGTTACCTACGCCAGTGTGATTTTATGCTAAATAAGATTTAATAATTTCTGGAAGGTAAGTAAGGCTACTTTTGAAGGATATATATATATATATATAGGATTTTCTAGGTGTTATTAAAATGTAATCATCAAGCCAGGCTTTGTAGTAAATGTCTGTTATCCCAGTAGGGAGGCTGAGACAGGAAGATGGCAAGTGGGAGCCCAGCCTGGGTAATTTAGTGACTTAACAACACCCTGGCTCAAAAATCAAAGATTAGCCCTGGGTTTAATCCACAGTAATGCAGTAAAAAACGTAATCATTAGGCAGGATTGAAATATTATAAATATATTGAAATATAATAATATGAATACTGATAGTAGCCTCTAATTCTTTAGCATCCACCTAATCTTAAACTAAAGAAGCATAACTGAATCCTTTGTAGAAAAAAATGGATGCTCCTTGAGACCATACTGCTAAGTGAAATAAATCAGTGAAGGTTAATCACAAACATATCAATTTTTAAAAGAATACAATTGCTTATCTCACTCAGCAATGAGGATGTTGCAAAGATATAACTCCTCTGTATGAAATGGACTTAAATTTCCCTTTGGAAATGCAGGGATGTGAAAATTTTAAACTTGTATTCAGAAAGAGAGGGGTTCTTTTTCCTTCCTTCACAACTACTGAAAGGGGTCTCGTGTCCCTTTGGGTGCCCCTTCCCAATTAGGCCACTCACCCACCGAGAGGTCCGGCAGGAGATCTTTATTGCAGAGAGTCAGGTGGAGCACAAAGGCCGGGAGGCAGAGAGGGGAGAGGGAGAGAGAGAGAGAGGGGGAAGAAGAAGCAGAAGGAGAGCGAAGAACAAAGAAAGGAAGGTCCTTTTATCAGTTTTGGGGTGGGCTATTGCTTATTTATGAAGAGTGAGCTACTTTTAACCTATCACAGGCCAGATTGCTTTTATGGGCCCAGTCCTGCAGACACAGGTTTTAACTTCCTGGACCACTGTGGCCTTGGGCGGGGAGGGAAACCAGAGATAAGGGCATGAGGTCATTTTAGGAGCCAAGATGTACTAGGAGAATGCAGCCTGTGAGGCGGCGTCACAGCATACTTTAACATGATCAATTCCCTAACAACTACCTCTTCCCTCACAACTACAACAATGGTAATGAGTCATAATTATTTTATTAACATCAAATTCAGAAGCGACTATCCAGTAGGGTCTTGTTCCTCCCTCCAAAAAAAGGCCTCCTTTCACCAACCCAGAGTGGGCAGTGTTTCCAGAAATAAACTTCAAAGGGCCAACTGCAAAGTGTGAGCCTATTTTGGAGGAAGCCACGAAATAGACATCATACAGGCACACCCTTCCAGCTTTTGTGGATGCCATTGTAAGGACCCCTCTCTCACTCCTAGCTTCTGTCTGGATGCACTCCTACCCAAGATAATATAGTTCTTAGCTCAGAATGCTATCCCTTGCATAGGGTTCACTACAACCCTATGAACAGCATAAGGTCAGGCTAAGCTTTTTCAGAGTGAGGGTTATTGGCTCACACTGTTCCAGGCTACACAGGTCAGAGGAAGAATAACGTAAGACCCCTGATGCCAAGAGGTTTATAAGAAGACAGCCAAAACCACCAGATGGCATGCAGTTGCATGAAATACAAACAGGTCTGAATAGAGTAGGAAATGCTGGGGCAGCCATGGCGAAACAGATTTGTATTAGGTCAGGAAGGCTGAATAGGGCTTAGTAGCCCAGTTTGGTTTCATTAGCAGCAAGCAAATGAACCTGAGCATATGAGCCTAAATGGCTAGAAACTCTTGGATCCTGTCCACTGACAATTGTGAGTATGGGAATTGAGTGGTTTTCTGGTGAGTCCAGGAACAGAAGGGCTGTTGAGAAATAACAAGCAAGGGATTAGGTAAGGTAGCTTAGGTTTGAAGTTACAGAAGGAAAATGGAATCATTTGTCTCCTCTGAAGGTTTTGGCATTTTAAACGCTTATTTCCCTTGAGCTCTGCAGAATTCCCACAGCTACTCAAAGCCTCCTTTTTTCTGGCTCTGCCTCTGTTTTCTTCTCCCACCATCCCTGTCAATTGTGGTATTCCCAAGCTCACCATTGTTTGTTTACAGTGGAAACTGTAAGCTCTTATCATGCAAACATGACCTTTCTCTGTCCACTTCCTTATTCCAGCCTCCTTAGTCAGTCTACATTCCCCTCAACCCAGTTTCCATGGCCTGAGGTCTGAATCATAATGCTGAGACTTATTCCAGAGTGCCTCCCACTACCGTTCCTAGCAACTCCAGCTCACATTCAACACTCTGCTTAGGAACCAACTCTTCCAGGAAGCCTTTCTTTTTTCTTTTTTTTTTCTCCCTTTGGTTTTTTGAGACAAGGTATCATCACTGTGTTTGTAGTTTAGGCTGGCCCTGAACTCACTATGTTGCCCAAGCTGGCTGATCCTCCAACCTCAGCCACCTCAGTGCTGGGATTGCAGGATGTGCTCCTACAACCAGCTCAGGAAGCTTTTCTTAGCCCCTAGAGTGGGTTAGGGCTCTTTCCAGCTCCTGTAGTACCTAGCTTTGCTTCTTTCTATTTGTTCTTTGCTGGAGCCATAATGATTGATTTATTCCATTACTTTCCCATTGGCTACCAGCTCCTTTAAGGACAGATTGTTTAGTGTAGAAGTTCCTATATTTTAAATAGTCTGGCATATAGAAGATTATCTACTGAATAAAGACTGACAGAAAAAAGAAATGAAATCTGGCTGTTAATATTTGCTCTACTCTGTTAAACTGTGTGACACACCCAAGACATTCAACTAGAGTCATTTTTCTCTTTAAAAAGGTGGGTGGGAGGAGGTGATTTCCTATTGAAGATTGATAGGAGAAATAAGATAGGTAAAAAGGAGAAGAGGAAAATTGTAATTTTAAAATTGTACTTTTAGTGAAAGCTGCAGTTAAACGACATAAGCCTTGTCAAAAATTCCTATGGTCCTTAAAGCCTGCTATGGTTTGTGTTTAGATGTCTCTTCCAAAGACTAATACTTTTTCAAAGGTGGCTCAATCTAGAGTGTGTGAATGATTCTTGGTGGGGGTAGGCCCAAGGCCACTAGGATTAAGGGAATGAGTACTACCTGCCCTAAGTAGTCTGACTAAGATAAAAAGGGCAGAAAGATGCTTGTAAGGCCCCTTGTTGCTTTTGCGGCAGTGTAGGCCCCATGAACTGTTTCTCCTCTGTGATGTTCCTCTGCCATGTGTCACTGCCTTGAGGCCAGCCCATTATGGACTGAAACCTCTACAAAGTTTGAGCTCAATAAACCCTATAACCTTTAACTTTGGTTGTCTGGTATTTTGTCTCAGCAATGAGAGAAAAGTAACTAAGACAAGACACGATGAACTTTGGCCATTCCCTTTTACCTGTAAATTGGCCGTTTTCACTGTGAATAGACCGTTCCCTTTTCACCTATGAAATAGCATTTTCCCTTATGGATAGTCTATAGCTCTAACACCTGTGAATAGGCCATCACACTGCTCTCTCACAGAAAGGGGTGTGGCCTTTCATTTGTTTTTTAAATTTTGTACTGGGGAGTGAACTCAGGACCTTGCACTAGTGAGGCAGGTATGGCACCACTGAACTAAATCCCTGGCCCTGGCCTTTCATCTGTTGAACTCCCCCTTTCCATAGATTCATAAATTCTAGAGATTTTCATCCCCAAATCCTCCATAAATATACTCATTTCAAGGCTGTAAGCACCCCTTTTTCCCTTTTGAGAGCCTGCACTCTATTCTTTGAGTGTTTGCTTTTGAAACTCTGTATAATAAATCCCTTTATGCCTCTTACTGATGTATCCTAAATATTATTTTTCTGTGATGGAAGTCAGGAACCTCAACCTGCCCTTGAGTGGAGTAAATCTAGGTTCCTCACCTCCACCCTGGGGGTCTCCTTGGAACACTTTCCAGTTGATAAGAGAACGTCTGTAAATAGTCTGAAACCTACAAAATGTTAAGGAAATACAGCATAACTGCTGTCTTTTGCTTCTGTATTTTGCTTTGCTTTGTTTCTTAGGACAACAATACCAGACGTTTCACCATTAACTACAAAGCTTGAAGGCACATAGCCCCAGTTTAAAATGTTATAAGATTAACAGATGCCGGAGGTGCTTAGCTGCATCCCCAGGGTGAGACTAGTTGTTCAAACTAAGATAACAGTCACCATAACTTACACAGTACACTTAGACCGGAAACCCTAAACTTTCTGTAAATCATATGACTATAAAAGATTGAAGATGAAAGGAATGTCACCAGTCCTGTTTTCCTAACCCTGACCCCCACCTCTTGTGGACTAGAATATCGAATTAGGTGAATCCTAAAGATAAACATCCTAACCACAAAAGAAGTGCTACATTTGGGTTAAAATTAAACTGTCTTATGACTGTGATTTGTGATGGGAACTGAGAGAACTGGAAGGTCTTACTGAACTACCTAAAATGAGGTCATGATTGTACAACGCCTATAAAAGGCAGATTGTAACCCAGACCAGGGTCAGTCATTTGGAACAGCCCTTGGTGCAGGCCAACCCTTTGCTAGCAAAGTCAATATTTTTTGTTTTGCCCACTCTTGCATCTCTGTGTGTCATTACCAGTTCCTTCTGTAACATAGTGACACTATCTATTCACTTCTCTGGGAAAACAAAAAGAATAAATAATACTAAAATGGACAGTAGTGGACTAGTACTTTGGAAAGGCAAAACATGAACAACGGAGTTCTAGTAATATATGGAATAAAGAACT